ACACACACACACACACACACACACACACACACACACACACACATACACACACATATATACATACATGAGAATGGATTTTTATCCGCAGACCTGTCTCTGCCGAACAATACAATGGAAAACGACGTGTCAAAATCACACGCTACACGCGCGGTCGTCCCCCGTTCCGTATACACACGTATATACGTACCTACTATGCGCACACGAGAAAAAACAAAATCGGGTGCAAGTCACGTTTGTCCGTGTAGAACGCGAACGTATACACAAATATGTATATAGGAAAAAAAATGAATATTATATAGATACACGGTTGTGATATTGTATATGCTGCGTGTGGCTCATGCATTGTTTGAGGTAGACAGTAAATGGACAGCAGACACCGTTTGTATTTTTGGCGGAGAACACATATATATGCATGTAAAACTGACAATAATGAAACATACGTATATTGTTAATATTGCGTGGCGCATAGTGGACTTTCAACGGCGCTGACGACTTTCTCTGTCCGAGTTTTGCGTTGTGCGCGTAATGATTATGGTCATACCACCGTAAATATTCTACTCGTTTTACACGTGCATACGTATCATACACATAACATGTATACTTAAATATGTATAAACATCGCATCGTAAGGATTAGTACCCGCGAGGCAATATATTTTCATTGTTTTTTATTTTTAATTTTTTTTTTTTTTGTGCAGTGTTGAAATGTGTGTATACATAGATACTACGTATTATGTATTTCGTGTACGACTGCAAATTATAAAAGGAATAACGAACGAAAAAATAAAAAAAAACCTTAAAAACACCCTTTGAGTAATAAATTTCTCTTTTTCCTTTTGTTGTTCCTGTTTTTTCGGAAAACAGAAAGTCACAAAATGAGTACCTTACTCATAATATGAATACATATATATATATATATACTTTGGTACTCGAGATATACTTTTGAGTCCAAGAAGTATAACACAGTACAGTGTGTTCAACGTCATTGGTGGCGGTTGTTGAGTGACCCGCGAGGAGAGAAAAAAATAATAATGAAAACCCCGTCGTCCCCGTACACATACGCAAGCAGCAAACCGTCAAAGGGAGACCACCACTACCACCACCATCAGCACCACGCAATCATAATAATAATTATACTCGGGGTCGCCGTACTGCATTGTTTAATTATTATCGCTGTACGTGACCAAGGGCATTTTAGTAGGCAGTCACGTAACGCGACCGTGTAAAATACAAACGTCTCGTCGCGTATAATTGGGCTCTTTCTCGAGAGCCTTTATTTCGATCACCCCCGCAGACTTTACATACCGCACCAACGTGTACGGTACACTAGTGCTCCAGGCGTTTCCCGCCAATATTTTCAAGTGCGCCTCGCGCCCCGATGTATAATAATATAATATAACCTATACAATATACGGCATATTACGTATTGCAGAGTAATTTTTGTATATAATACCGACAGAATTTTATATTGTTCGTTCGCTATAATGTATGTGCGTACATGCGTTTTATATTGTTACAAACTTGGCTAGTAATAATCCCTGCACAAGATTTGCAACGACGCATTTAGGATTTTTTTTTTTAAGGTCGGAGGATATACGAGTATACATTTATCAGTTGCTTTGGTAATAAAATGTGCATGTTTTTAGTTCAATCGTAGTTCAAAAGTAGTTCGATCAATATAAATGAAATATTTATTTCCGTCATACTATTATGAAAGATACACGTTTGTATAAAACAAAAGTAATATTATAATTTAAAATTACGTAGAAAGAAAGAACGGGGGAATATATAATACATTTTTATAATATTTAAATTGGCATTAATTTAATTGAAGTTTTTTATTCACTTAAATTTCAACAATAGTGATACTCGTAATATGAATTTTATTTCTGATTTTCATTAAATATAGATTCGCTTTAATAGGTTCGATATAAATTATTAATTATACTTAAACGTTATACTGTAATAATAAACTAAATTTTATTTTATAATTTATAACTGTCATAATTTTTTGTTCAATTTTAGGAATGATTATGAAAGGTAGAAAAATCAAGTATCTTTTTTGAATTGAAAAACATTTTTAACATAGTCGTACGCAAATATATAGGATACAATAATTATTATCGTACCAAATTATTCTTGAATAAATTATTAATAATTCAGTGAATATACGTATAATACTATTTTTGAGCATTTTAAATTGAAAATTAGGTCTTTTAATTACTAATATTTATTAATTTTATCAAACAGTAAATTCTTATTAATTTTTTTTCAACCAAAGAGTAAACTTTTATTTACATAGTGCATTGCTGTGATTACATATGTTAATGGTTTGCTACTTGATTTATATATATAGCAGAGACGCCAGAACATGATATATTTGGGGGGGCTGAGGGTAGCCTCTAATCAATCATTACTATTATACTAATTTAAAAATTTTTTTTCAAGACAACAATTATAGTTTTCCTGGAAGGATAAAAAAAACAATTCAAATTATTTTAAAATACTCAACAACCTTATAAATGAGTAGTTGTAAATAAATCAGTAATTTAAAATCACTCAAAAAGCCATGCAACTAAGAACCAGGTATCATAATGACATCATAATATTACGCAATAATGACTACTGACTAGGCATAAGCTGTACGCACTACACAAGACAGTATCAATACTATAGAAACAATACTTTTGTCGAAAATAGACAAGGTGCATAAGTGTATAATGTAATAAAATATAAATATTAATGTTGATAACACGTTTGTTTTTAACATTTGTTTTTCTTTATTATAAATAGCTGGGACGGGTGAGGACAAATTCTGTATGGCACTGTAGTTTTATATTCAAATCCATTTTTCACTTATAGACAAAAATACAGTGTTAACAGATAATCCCATGGTATATTTAATTAATTTATTCTATGATTTTAGTCATAATAGATTATTATAATTACCGAAAATATTATATATACCCAGTCCAAATTCTTCTCCAAGCTGTTCCACATGAAGTATTCACTAATTTTGTACCTATATTTAGAGGGGCGAAACATACCCTTTGCCCCTTCACCAAAAAATCCGGAGGGGCACCCAACCCTTTTACACTCCCCCACCGGTTGCGGCGTCCCTGATATATAGTTATAGTCAGTACCGTAACTAAACTACTCGAGACTTGCGTGTAAATCATAATCTTGAGGTCCCTTGTAAACATTTTTCAATAGCAACTAAAAAAACATTTGTTTTTAGAGGGGAGAGAATTTTTTTAAATTTAATAGTTTGAATAAAAGACTATACTAAATATCTAAGTAAATATAATAGTTTATTACTGGAATAAACAATTTACTCTAAATTATTATACTAAAGGAGTGTTGAAAATTTTAATCCAGTTATCCTCTACCTGCATTATTGTACATTATATTTAGCATAAGTTATTGGGCAAAAACTACTAGTTTACTGAAACATATAATCATTCAAAATATGTTATTTGGAATAAATAGTTTTAAAATAACTAGTACACATTATTTTCATTTTATTTTTTTTATAATATTCAGATTATGATTTAAACTTGAGAACATAATAACGTAAAAGAATTTGGTGTAAAGCATATTGGTAAAGTTAGTAAATAACATTGGTTTCATTCAAATAAATTATAAATTGATATTTTCATGCCAGTCATTTGACCTTTTAAGGCCCTACAATAAAATATGAGGGTTGGGGCCTGTGTGCAATGCACACTCCGCACACCCGGTTTTTATGACACTGGTTGTATTTTAATATAATGGTCTAAAAGACATATTTGTTTTCTACTATGTTATATTTGTAATGATAAAAAATATTGAAATAGTATATTCGTATGAGTAAGATAATATTAAAATTTAATATTATATTTTATTAATTTTTTACTGTAACGCACTAAGAAAATAACTCTAATAGAATCTGTCCTCTGAAAGTCAAAACAATATAGAAGACTTTCCGCTGAATTGACTTAACAAGATAAAAAGAAACGTAAGTAATAGATATATTATAAAATTATGCATAAATAATAATTTTAAATAATGTACCTTTATAGATAATGATTTTTCTTTTTGAATATAATTGTTAAAACTTAAAAAACAAACTATATAATAAAAAAATATCAAGATTTTATAATAGGAAGAGCTGTAAACAAATGTTTCTAGCTTTTCCGCTTTATATTTGTTATTATATGAATAATCATTTCGATCAAATTATAAAATTTATCAAACAAATTAATACAAATTACATACTAAATATTTGAAAAAAAAACATGTCAGAATATCTTAAGGGATGGTTGACCGTAGGAATTTATATTTAAAATAATAGCTACTGACTATCAATATAAACTACGGGTATTTATGTATTATAATATTTTCTAGGTAAAAATTGCAACTTATATACGTTAATAACCATAAGAGGTATTGGAAAACTATGTCATAATGTAATACATAATAACCAATGTTAAACAAGTTTAGATTGAAATTCATATAGATCAATATACCATTATCAAAAATAATTTAAAATTGTTTGATTTATTATATTCTCACATTTTTATAAAATGCTTTATACTGACAGTAAAATATGTGTTTATTATACTCACCATATACTACTGTATATATTTGATTGCAAGCCTAATTACAATGTCAAAACAGATATGCGTTAGATTAAAATTCTTTTTTAAGAGTGCTCGGATATCTTACTCGACAAAAAAATCCAAAAAATACGGTACACAAAAAGATGACATGGCCAAAAAACATTTTTCAAGGAGACTTTCGGGGGTACTATGTGTGTGATGCGTCGACAATAAAAAAGAAAAAAAAGAAAAAAGACCGTTAGACAAAAAGTCAGTAGGGGAGTGAAATTATTAAAAAATAAAACACAAGACCTTATATGTATATATATACATAGTGTGTACGGGTGGCTGTCGTGGTGGTGGGGTTATAGCAGAGTTAGTGGAAGTTTGGGGTGGAGGAGAAAAAGAGAGAGAAATTGGCAACGACGACCAAGTCGAGTGGTGCCGTGGAAGTTGCAGGGGAGATGGCAGGAAACGTGTGGCGGGGAAGAGGTCGACGCTCAAGTGCACTTGACCCGCACAGTGGTGCGTGCGTGTGGCCGGCGAATAAATCGCTGTCACCATGGTGACCGGACTTCGGTTGCCAGGCGACACGGTGTAATACCGCGGTATGATCGACCTTTGCGACGCCCTCACCTGCCGCCCCGTGGCCCCGTAGACCGCGGTGTAGCAGTACTGTATACTGCACCACCCGCGCTCTCACATATCCCCATTTTGCACACACCTATTGACCGACAGTCAAAGGCCCGCACCACCTTTGTTATCTAAAAGACTTAACGGGAGATTAACCTTTGATGTTCACAATAAACCCGTCAAATTTTACAAGATGAATTATTTAATATATATTGCCTTCTTCGAAGAGTCTCGGTCAAATTTATTAGACCGATATTCATACTATGGCCGATAAAAAAATCCCCTACAACTTTTATTTTTATTTTTTATACCTATCCAAAACAGTTTATATGTACACTTTTTATTAACTGCCTACATTTTTCTTGGCAGGTAAGTACAATTGTTGTACTCTTTGGTGCACAAAATTGAATGATTATTATGTGCATATATTTATATATAATAGGTACGTATTTCGACTTATTAAAACAAAACCAAAAAAAAAAAAATAAATATATGTATTAAAAAAAAACCTTAAGTGAGGTAATATACATTTCGGAAGTACTCTAGCAGTTAAACGTTATTTTTCACTACGTAGTATATTCAAGAACAATAAGCATTTGATTGAAAGAACGAAAAAAGGTTTCAAATATTTTAAAAAAGTATATTGTTTATACATAAAGTAAAACTTATACTTTTACCATAAATCTCTTGAAACCCATATGGAAAGCTTAAACGAGTCTAAATTACAGTTATATTCAAGAGTTTCAAATTCATATATTTATATCACATATCTCACATAATCACCTATAATCACATTTATATTACATATTTATTTATAATATCCATGGACTGTGGATTATCAATAATAATTTAATACGTTTTAATAGGTACCTATATAAAACATAGTTAATTGTGTTCCTTAGATTTTAGAGAAGACAATATAGATACCCACAGCATATGTTGTTATAATTCCTTAGCATTAAACAATTATTATTGTTTAATATTGACTATCAAAAGGAAAAAAATTATAATTATAACTACTCAGCTTCATTTTTAGAATTATAATTTGATATTTAACATACTATTATAATTATGGTACTTATTATAAACTTGCATAGTATATTTTCAGACTTTGGTACGAATTTTTAGCTTTCGAAAATAATATGTATACTAATGATAGTAATATATTCCTAATTTATTATTCAATGTGGAGCTATATAATGTAGATTATGTAAGTATATAGTACTAGGGGCTGTAAAAAGTATTTCAATATGCTTAATAGGTAATAAATAATTTGAAATAAACCGTTTTCGGATAATATATAAGCGTTTTATAGATATAATTTATGCGCTATAATTTATGCTATAATTTGCTCAAATACCTATTATGTTCACTAAATATTTTACCAGGATATTCGTTTCTTATAAGAATATATATTCATGGAGTTACAAAGATAAATATTTGTATACGAGTATATTAATACCCGCTTGTACAACATTCCTGCACTGCCATTGTATTATACGAGTAGGTAATATAAACAATTAGTACATTGTAACTATAATAGCTATTTGATACGTGTTAATTCAATTTGTAATTGAATTAGATTATATTTATATAGTTATTATTGTATGTTCACAATGAGTATAATAAATGTATGGAAATATATTTTAAGGAGAGGACAATATACCAATACCAAAATATAGTAATAGAAATATATTATAATAACTACGTTTCAATGAAAGAATAAGTCAGTAGTGTGAGCAGTAAAGAGGCAAAATTAAGGAGCTCCTGTGAACTTGGAAAAAAGTAAGTTTTAATATTCCGCCGAATCGTCGTGCACTCGCGTTTCGATCCTCTCTCACCCCTAGACACAAATTCTACTCTATAAAAGTAAAAGAGCATATTTCAACGCATAATTTATCAATATTCAGTGCATTGTTATTGAATGCATATTTTAGTCTTTTAACGTATACATAGTCCGTGTTATAATCCATAAAGCATAAAATTGGCTTATCGACGCTTTTCGAAAACTGTAGTGGCTATAGACAACCTAGACATCCTAGGCTGTCGCCGTAAATACGCCTTTACACCGATGCGTTTGTGATGTACAAAAGTACAAATGTTTGGAGAAAAAAATTGGAAGGACTTAGAAATATCACCAATGAAATTATGCACGCACAAGAGTGGTGAACTTCAGTCGTCGACACCAATTTAATGTTAGGTAGAGAACAATTTAATTTAAAAATTAGTGGCGTTACCACCCCATACATAACTTTAGGTCCCCGAATCGAGTCTTAATCAACTCACTTAAAAACAGGCATGATCTATACATAAAGTGGCAGTACTCGTATTTTAGTAAAAATTAGGAACAAATAACATTTTTGTATCATTTAATAAGATCATAATTATAAAGCATTATTTTGAAGCTGAACAGTTAAGAGTTACCTTGGTGTAGATTTCGGCGTCTCTGAAGTGTGAAACTAACATTTTATCAATTATACGAAGTAAAATTATGGTGCGCAAATATTAGCAAGATCCTAATCAAAAGGCATTGAAAAAATCGGACAGTACGGACGCACGTGTGTAAAAGATATTTGTATAACATACGAATATATATTCGTATAATATGTAGGTACAGCAAGCTGTCGTTGCATTGTCGGTCAGTCACTATTGTTTGCAGCATTTAACGCCTTGCACGTACGACGCATACACACACACACACACACACACACACACACACACACATACACACACGTTCATGCATGTCAGTCCAGTGACGTCCGTCATGCACCTGACATGCGGCAGCGACGGCGACGACGATACGACGACCACCCACAGGGCACACGACGATGACTTGCGTTCCGCGTCCGACTTGGGGGAATTGGCCACAATCTCGAGTCAAAACGTACGGCGGTACAGAAACAATACACAAGTTCGGTGGCGCTTTCACCGCCGCCGTCGCAATGGCGCCTTGTTTTGGTGCGGTCTCTTTCCCAGACTTCGTCCCGGACGGGCTTGTGGTTCTTTATTACGGTACAACAATCGTCGTTGCAGTTGGATTCGAAGCACGATTTTGAGCAAAGTTTATCACTCAGACCTCTGTTTGTATCAAACGTCGTAAAACACTGTCTGTTCCACGGCATTATACCTACTAAAAATACTTCTATCGAAAACCTCACGGTTTCCATTTGATCATGGTCCATCGGGATCGTTCGGTCGGCAAACGTTGGTCAAATCTAAGAATTATGATTCTCGAGTGCATTGACTTTTGGCGCGGGCGGAAAACTATAGAGAGCAATAAAAATATAAAACCTATTAGAACGTAACAAAATTTTAGGTAGATTACAATTGCGATCCTAAGAACACGATGGACGATACAAACATTTATATCTATCCAAAACCGTGCAATGTGTAGGGTGAAATATTATTTCTCGAGGAACCGACAAGAACTTCCGTACTATCCAAGCTTTTCGAGCAATCGTATGATAATAAAATATTCCACAGTTCACTGACCGCGAGGACAGTATACTCAATATATACTTGTTCCGTTTGTATATATTATATTACGCATCGCGGTGCGGTTGCATTCTTTATAATATTATGTTTTATATGCTATATATTATTATACGTGGTAGTATAGGCCTGCACATTCATATTCAAATGGCGCAGTTTAATTCTGAGTCCGGTTTTCGAATTTCACGGTGCCAAAGGCACGTGACAGGGGTCGAAGATAAATTCGCGCTGAAAATTCTTAACACCCCAAAACGTCATTGTTGTCCAGTAATACAGCCGCCGCTGCCGTTGACAGTATCTCTCCCCCGCGTGGACGCGCGACCGTATACACACACTTTTATTAACTCCACCGCCGCTCACCATCCCTTACCCCATCCAACTTTCCCGTGATCGTGTCATATATATACTCAGTTTCCTCTATGTGTGTGTGTTATATATGTATACATACATATAAACGCGTGCGTACACACCAGACTCGTCGCTTGTTAATAGCCTCCATCGAGTGTTTGTGACTGCTACCACCAAAAACGGTGGCCGGTCCGCGGAGGCGGTGGTGGCGGTCATAGCGTCCCTTTTTCCAAGACACATTATACACACATTATACGCCCGCCACAGCCGCCCTACCGCGGGATAATCGTGGTGTAGGTATATTGGCACGATAACGGCAAAACGTATTCTCTCTCTCACTCTCTTTCTCGCTCTCTACGGTGTTCCGTCTACATGGAATATAAATACTATTATTTGTACACGTATAACATCGTATATTGACGCGGAAAGTGCCCACGAAGCGTTGGAATTTTCTCACGTCGTCGTACGTGTGGGAATTCGGCTTGGAACTTTATGTTTGTTCATTTCCGATCGAGTTGTTTCGGAAATACACCTCGGACTGCACACGCGACGTCATAGAGACGCGGGCGCTCGCACTACGCGTACGCGCGCGGTGTTTCTCACGCGGGAAGAAAATAACAATAATAATAATAATGCCCACTTCCGAGTTAACTTACCTACGTAATGCGCGCGCGTAACGTGTTCAGTGATTTCGCGGTGGTCTCTCGGTAATGCGGCCGTGGGACTCACACGACGAAACAATGGGG